TATGCGGGTGGTGTAATGGATAATGGATCGGAATTTGAGAGAGCAGAGTTCGAATTCCAGTCGCGTTCTTTTATTCATTTACGCTCAAATATCCTTGGTGAGTGTAGGAATCAATTTCCTCTACCTTTCTATGGATTAAATCGTAGAAAGATAATCATTAAAATATTTTTTAAAATCCATGCAATACTCCTTATTCGTACTGGAGTTCTTAGCTATGATGAGTTTAAATGTTTTAGAGTCAGGCTTATTTATACGCATCATATCTAAAATCTCCACTTACCTCTGATACATAGATGACACTTTTCTAATATATTCTCACAATGAGAAACTACTAAATATCATATAGAAATTTAATTACGTAGAATCAACCATTGAATTCACACAGGATCCTATTAATTCGTAACCATAATAAATGAGAATTCAACTTTTACCGCAAACACACAAAAATAACTCAATCAATTTTCATTCCCACCACTGATGCCAAAAACCAAATCGTGAGTAATCATAGGATTTTACCTGAGAGCTCTTACAATATGTAGCCCAGAATACCTAATAAAGAAAAGAAATACACAGTAAAATGTTTAGACTTCTTCACTTACAATTATTTCATTCTTAACGCTAGAAAACTAGCATACAAAGTCCACAAATACAAAAAGCAGGTACTTCCGACAACATAAAATTCATAATACTACCATTCAACATTCTGTCAATAGTATTTGAAAACAAATGAGTTATCCACAACATTAAGGTCTTTAGTTCCATTGTGTGTCTCCATAACAAGACAGGAGAAAATCAATCCAATACCACATCTGATGCCGCGGTTTATGAAAAAGCTAGATTGACGAAACAACCAGAAATCTAAACGGCCGCATCTACGAACATAAGAGAGACCTACGTTATAACAACCTTTTAAACTCGCTCGTAATGTACAGAAATAAAACAGGCCATATTTTCGAATTTATAAATGCCACCTAAATTAGAAAAGAACATAATTCATTAGGTAGGAGTTACTTAGAGGGAGTTTTGGGGAATAGTTTGCAATCTGTAAATACGTCAAACGCACTTTATTATATCACAATTTTTTTAAAATCCACACGGAAAAATACAAATATATGTTTATCTGCAACTACATCAGCTGTAACTTAAATCATTTCCCTCTCACAAAAAACTTTCTCAAAGCAAAATATTAGGTTGGTGCAAAAATAATGACGCAATAATGTCGTTTTTGACGTATTTTTTAACGTCAAAAAACGACATTCTTACGTCATTATTTTTGCACCAACCTAATACGTACAACCACCAAACACAGATGCCTACCGAACGCTCCTGGCCGAGTCGGTTAAGGCACGTCAGCGTAAATGACGGTTCCGTATAGGATGCAGGTTCGAATCCGGTCAAAGGACGAATATTTTCTATGAAAATTTCTCGGACATTCAGGCCGGTAAATGTTATTTAATACTGCTTATTATAAACAGAGCATTTACTTAAATACTTGTATCTATAAAAAGAACGTTAAACATAAAATGTCTTTAATATATATATATATATATATATATATATATATATATATATTTAGAGAGAGAGAGAGAGAGGGAGAACGAGAACGAGAGAGAGAGAGTGATAGATAGATGGGCGGGAGGGCACGTGTCCGAGAGGTTAGAACGTTAGCATCTGACCATGAACCCCGGGTTCAAATCTCATCATGGTCAATTTTCCATGAAGGAGAACTTTGGAAAGTGCCTGGAAAACATATCACGGATCGACCCAAGCCTTGCGAGTGGAATTCGGTAGACGGAAACCTTGGTGTCCGTCGGTACCTGTGCTAGCACGAAATCACAACTCATCATGACCGAGGACTTGATCGTGGTGGTTTTGTTGATCACGCTAGATAACACGCTTTTTCCCAGAAAATGTAACTAAGGTCTGCTCAGCATAGTTCATAGTTGCAGGGCTATGTAGGTGTGGAATAAACACAAAGGCGCCTGAGAAATTCCTGCTATAGTAGACGGGTATCATCGAATAAGAGTGGCCTGCTCTCTCTCTCTCTCTCTCTCTCTCTCTCTCTATATATATATATATATATATATATATATATATATATATATATATATATACAAAATTCCCAAGAGGATAGAATGCAGGTAAAACTCAATGTCCAGGACAGAGTAAGAATATAATATAAAACGCTCAAAAACTAATATTCCATGGTTATAATTAATTACATTGGAATCGTACTCACGATCCATATCATCAGACCTACAAATTCCCACCCCCAAAGCTTCTCTTTTTTTAATTTGTATGTCTGATGAATATATATATATATGTGTGTGTGTATATATATATATATATATATATATATATATATATATATATATATATATATATATATATATGTATGTGTGTGTGGTGTATCAAAAATAATTTTGCAAACATTGTGGGTGGGTTCCTCACAACAGAACAGAGATAAAAGTCCATATAAGCATATGTCAGCAAATTCTTCATTTTTGAGTTATTAATTTAAAAAAAAATTACGGTAAATGGCACTGTGTGGCCATATAGACTCGGTTATATTTCTCATTCGTGTACATTTTTGACTGGTCAATCTTCAACGTTTAACGTGTGTAGTAGTGAGTTAGCTAAAATGTGTTCCGTATGCAAGGATATTCATATCGCGAGCAGGCAGATATGATTTTTACACACGACTGCGTGACTGGTAACGGACAGAATACGGCATAGAGGTATAAAATTGCGCTTCCAGACCGAAGGCCGCCGAATCATTCCACCTTTGCTGCTGTTTATCATCGACTTGCTGAAACGGGATCCGTGTGCTGAAACTATGGATCGAGGAAGACTGAGATCCACTCATACGCCTGACAACGATGAACACATTCAACAGGCTGTCGGAGATGATCCAGGTGGCGCTAGCATATCGTAGATCTCATAGTAGCGCATGGAGTATACTTCAAGAGCAGCTTTTGTGTCTATATCATTTGCAACGTATGCAGGATCTTTCGCCCTCTGATTACTCACCACTGGAGAACTTTTGCCGATGATTTGCTGCACAAACTACCGACACGTTGAGGCATCATTTAGAAATGATGGAATAACAAATTTACACAACCAATTTCTGTGGACGTATAGAAATCTCCACGGTACAATAGACGCCAGTATACGTTGACAATTAATATGTGAGCTGGAATTCTAGGTGGGTCTTTGATAGGTCCATATTTTCTCCCACCACGTCTTACCGGATTTGTCTACAGTGACTTTATTTCGACCATACTTCCAGACCTGCTAGTGGATGTACCCCTGCTAATATAAAGATGGATGGGGTTCATGCATGATAGGGCTCCAGCATATTTTAGTCACATTGTTCGCGATGTACTGGCTGATATATACTATGAAAGATGGCAGGTAGTTTAGGACCGGTCTTTTGGATTTTTATGCGTGAGGCCACCTAAAAAAATTGATTTATGCAACAGTCACTAATAATGCAGAGACGCTTCATCATCGTAACATGGCGGCATGTAAAACCATTTGACACCGTCTGGGAGTATTCGAAAGGGTCTGCCAGTCAATGATCCGTGTGTAGAAGCAATCAGAGGACATTTTGAACATTTCTTATGAGTTGCTGTGTTGAGGCCCAACAATAGCCTTTTCGACATATGTTTTGTGGACATTTTACCTTTTTTTGTCTTATGGACATTTTGACACGCCCCCCAAATGTTATAAATTTATTTTTTTTATTGTATCTTGGATTGTACATTTAACAGCGTCTACCGCAATATTAACTTAAAAAACGAAGAATTTGCGGACATATGTTTCTATGAACATTTGTCCTTGTTTTATCGGGGATCATATTTTTCCTTTAAATAACAAGGACCCAATGAAATAAAAAATGGAATTAATATGTTTCTCTCCTCCCCCCCCCCTCCCTCTCTCTCTCTCTCTATCTCTCTCTCTCTCTCTCTCTCTCTATATATATATATATATATATGAATGTGTGTGTGTATTCTAAATTACTAGACTAAAACACAGAGTACAAAGTAATTTGTTACTTCAACCGTCTAATTAGAGAAACTTGAAAATCGTTAGTCAAAATTTCGTTGTTTACTGAGTTCGAACTTCATGCCAGCGCCACCGTAACGCAACACTCCAGCCTTCTAAACAGAATTTATCTACGCTTAGAAACAATATCATATATATTACGAAATTAAGAATGATTGTATGATCCGTTTTCTACGGATTATCAACCCTTTGCAGGTTATTTAAAGCCGGAAAATCTCTATAGATTGTAAGATTTTTCTTTCTTACGGCAGATATTAATGGTCTAGGGTCACAGGTTTTACTAATTAACCCATAGCTGGGGAAGAAGTGGTGGATTCATACATTACCCAATGGTATTTAGCCGTAAGTGAATATAACGATCACAGATTGAACTGGAAATCTCCGCTTAATAATCCCGAGCCATTTTCCGTTTACAAAAGACGCACATCGAAGCTTACTTCAAATAATATTCCCAAGCTTTCACCCATCTAGGTAGTGACCAGGTTTGTCGTTGCTTACCCTCTGTGATCATATCTAGTGTTTCAATGCGATATTATCGTAAGCCATGAAATTATGAAATAAAGAATATCACAAGTATTTCTTACCGAAAAAAAAATGATAAACATTGGAAGAAGGCAGTGATAAACTGAAGGAAATTTTGAAACATTACATTTTTAATTTAGCATTATCCAAAATTTATAAGCGAGAAGAAAAAAAGTCAGAGGAAACAGAAGTGGAATGACTAGTCGTGCTGCTGCCAACCACAGAAGAACCAAAAGTGCTTATTCTTGATTTTAAATAGACAAAGCTGAAAATAAACGGGCAATCTTCGCAAATGCGTCGCCGAAGAATACTTCTTAATTATTCTGTTGTTTTTTTGGGGTTTTTTTTTCCTGATTTCTTCGAAATTCTTGGCACAGGAAAAGAGCTAAATACACCCAGGTCATTAGGCATTAGACAGAAAGAAAAAAAAGCGAAAACACAAACTCATAGAAGAAAATAAGAGAGAAAAGAGCGTTGTAGCGTAGGAAGGAGTTGAAGACTTAAAAATTAATGATGTATAAAGAAACCCATATAAAATACATTAAGTCCTGTAGTACTAATGCGTGCTAAGCACACACACTCACATCCAACCACAAATTCTCTTTGGTTAGATGAGTACATATAATAAAAAAAAACAAGCTTATTAATTGTTACCTTGTGCCAAACTTTGGTTCAAAGTGCGTAAACTAAGCTAGATGAATAGGAACCTAATTTATGTTGGATTTTTTTAAATGAGAAATTCTTCTTATTATGTGCATTATTTTTCAAAGAAGCACGCTTATCTTGGCTGTTTTTGAGGAGATTTTTGTTTTACGTATCTATTGCTGTATCAGGTCGAGTTCATACTGATCTATTAATTTTTGCTAGAATTTTGTATATAAGTAATTGTAATTAGTATATAATTAGCTATTCGGAAATGCCTGATTTAGAAGATTAAACTATTGGTTAAAACGTTCCGGGTCTTCATAGATTTGTGTCTAACGGCAACATTATGCTTAATCACCGGTACCCAAATGATCAACAAAGTAAAGAAACGCCGAACCTGGTCAGTAATTGGATGACCGCTTGGGAATATGTGGTGCAGTAAACATGGTTGGGCGAATGGTGTAATATCACGGAATTTGTTAATAGGAGAGCTGAGTTCCAATTCCAGTTGAATTCGTTATATATACTTCCGCGCAAATACTCTTTGGAAAGGTAAGAATCTACCTTTTCTCGTCCCACCTATGGATTAATTAATAAGAATTCTCTCAATTATTATTATCTCCAAAATTAAAATAAAATTGTGTAGAAAATACCCTTAACTGTGGGTTAATTATTAAAACTTGTATCAGTAAACCATTATTGTCTCCAAAAATTTTCTTACACTCTAAAAATATTTTCTAGCTTTAAGTAACCTGCAAAATGTTGATAAGCCGTAAAATACCAATCCATCAAAACTAACCAAGTTTGTAGTTTTAAGTTCAATCCCTGGATTGATTCAACTGTTTTTATGTCTTGTGATATGGCCTTAAGCTTCAATCCAAGGAAGTGTTCAAATATCACATGTTCAATGGTAGTCTTAATAGCATTATCGAGCCATTGCAAAATTCGCTGGATCAAAATCACCAGTTCCGTATAACATCGTAGAAAGACTTCATCTGCATGTTCGAGATTTACAAGACTCAGAGCAGACAATGAATAGAGAATTACTGCCGGAGCTTCCCAGTCCTCACCAACCTGTCTTAATAGAATTCAAATTCGTCTACGCAGTATTGCAGGCGATTAATTCTTTTCCACGCTACAACACCTTTCTCGCAGATACTACGTCGAAAGACTATCGCTACTCTATTGACAATACAAGATAGGATGTTCTGACGGGCTATATTCCCTAGTTCCAAAAGTTAAGATATTTATAGCGAAAAACCACGAGGTCATCGTCATTCCTGTCATATTCAATTGACAAGAAAGAAATTCCCAAGAGCAGCAAATTTTGGATCAGTCTCCTGAGAGGCTGATTCCACGACCAGTATAAATTAAACTCTTGGAATAACCGTTATCTATCTTATATATCCTCGTGATCTACAAGTCGTACGTTCATAAAACAAACAAATTTGGACACCTCGATGTGGGGTAATGTCTTGCAAGGTCAAATTGCTTCTGGGTAGTGAGTTCGATCCTCACTAAGTGACTCTGCTTTCGTTCGTGTGCTACAATTAAGCTACACTTAGAAAATCCCATTTATGGCCACCTCGAGGCGGTGTAATGTTTAGCAAGCTTGTCTCGCTAGAGCAATTACGACTGAGTAGTGAGTTCGATCCTCACTGGGTGCCCCATACTTTCGGCCTTGTGCCACATCAAAGCTACGCATGGAAAATCACTAGTGCACCACGATGCTGTCTAATGTTTAGCAAGCTTTTCTCGCTAGAACAATTACGACTGAATAGTGAATTCGATCCGCACTGGGTGCCCCATATTTTCGATCTTGTGCCACATCACATCTATGCTTAAAACAATAGATGTCTAATTTAAATGGCTCTACATCTTGTATTTAGTTTGACAATAGTATAATTGTGATATATGTTTGTGAAATTATTGGGCTTTATGAACATAGGAAACAATTACAAATATAATCATTCAGTAATAAAACTATACAATCTTCCTACATTCGTGTGGTCTTGTATCAGTCTTCATTAATATGAACTCACATGAATTCTGATATACAAACTGAAGTAAAAAAAAAAGTAACTGTTGTAATTATCAGGCTTTGTTAACTTACGAAGAAAAATAGGTATGTAATGAGTATTTTGAAATATGTAAAATCTGGTTTTATTTTTTTTTTTAAATAAAGTTCCAATAGCCCAATCAGTAACCCTCTGCCTTGAGCCACTTAAGGTAGAGGGTTCCTGAACGATGTCTGTGATACGAATGTGAGGAAGTGAAGAGTATGCGAATATGGAGGATAGAAAATATTTGACCCTTGACTTCAAGAGGTTTAGTATGTAGCGTTAAGTAAAGCATTCACACGGGAATGAGTTCCACAAAGTAGCATTTATATAGTATTTCTTCTCAAATTTCTCGGGGAAAAAGCTAGTTGAGTCAAACTTGCTCCTTACAAATGGAATACTGAAAAAATGTGGGTGATTCGACTCCGTAGAAATAGCATGGCGTATCCGAGCTCTAAAACGTCTGGTCTGGTCTGGTGGTCACGTGAACAGTGATTGGCATGAGCTTTGCGTCTTTTGGAAACAGTAATAAACATTAAAAGAAAATACGGTATGATTTATAGGTTGCTAATTAAAACAGCTAGTGTAAGTGTATAAATATCCGGTATTAAATATAGCCATTCATGCTCAATATACCAAATTTTGTGCTTAATGGGTTAGTCTCGAAACTTGAGAATGCAGAAAACGTAAGAAACCCATATTATTATCATAAGTGAGTTCAAATATGGAGGTGATGATGTTAAAAGATAAAGACAAAAGGCTACTGTTTAATGGAAATTTAGGGTGAAGAAATAATAAATTTTGTTTTAAAATTTAAAAAACGGAAAGTATTGGTATGCAGGTAAAGATTTGAGCTAAGGGTTTTTTTCCCACTGTTTTGAATTGTTTTCCTTATTCTTACTGCATGTCTAGATTATATTTCTGCTGATTCCTGGCCACCGTAGCGAAGATCACGTACAGTTTATTGGAGAACCAAGAAATTACTAGTTTTCTTGTTTTTGCTTTTCTTTTAAATACTACATTGTTTTAAAATCGCAGATCACTCAAAGCAAGGTAGTAACGCCACGAGGAGTTACTTGGTGTGTATGAATTAGAAAACATAAATATTACTAAGGGATGAGAACCAAAGAGATTCTATGTCAACCTGAACGGAAATTAGCAGATAAGATGTTTAAACCTGGTCAATGGATCGTACGTCATTTGACTGCTTATCATATTAAACAAAATGTTGTGCCATGCTCAATATTGAAGAGTGTAATAGCTCGTGATTCTACTTTAGGTAGATTCATCATTGGGGGTGAAAATGGGGCTCTATATCCGTACCAAACGAAAACATTAATGCTTTTCACCTACTGAAAATAAAGGCGAATTCGTCTCTAACTCAGGGTGACACGCGGAAAAGGTCATGCTCTGTGTTTGGTGGCATATGCTGATCCAGACATCCTGGTATTTGTATCCGGGGCCTGGAATGTCACGAGGATGTACCATAATCAAAGTAAGAAGTGGATGAATTAGAAAACAGAAATATTACTAAGGAACGAGAACAAAAGAAAGGACAGTAGATTACGATTGAAACTGCATTAAATCTTTTGCAGATTAAAGTTAACTGGGAAGCATGGAGCCTGAAGAGAGTCCCACAAGCGAGAAGTGCAAGAAAAGAAACTGTTAGCATTTCAGTCACGGCTGCATATAGCCAGCTCAACTGTAAAAGGATGTTACCTCAGCACCAGTCTAGTACTGCGTTTAAATTAAAAAAAGGTCTACATACCATAGCAAAAATATCATCAAAACAATTACCATGAAAGTATTTATAGAAAAGGCACAGCGAAGCCACTTTACGGCGATGGTAAAGCGACTGAATCCGAGACGCCAGATCAAGACCAATAATATTGCTGATTCTTGGTTGTATTTCATCAAGGATCTCTCGAGATATGGCAAAAGCACCAGGTCCTATGAGGAAAAAAAAAATTAAGCAGGAACGAATGATAGATTCATATATATATATATATATATATATATATATATATATATATATATATATATATATATAAAGAAGAAATATAATTTAAAGGTGTGCAGTATTTATGGGATAAATTGCACAATATCAGAGATTAGAGTTAGATTTGTTTTGATCTGAGAAGATAAAGCTATTTATTCGTTCAATTGATTGCCGTAGTCTATTCTGTTATTTTGGTAGTTTTTAGTTTGTTTAATATTTTATTTATTTATTTTATTTAATCTACTTTTATTAGTTCTAAAGGTTATTTTAGCGGGATCGATTTGTTAATTTGTTCATTTATTTATTTATTTGGATTATTTTTCCTGTTTTTTCTTATTTACTTGCTTATTTTTCTTATTCTGTATATTTTTATTTACTCTATTCGGTTTTCGATTTTATATGTACATACATACATACATACATACATACATACATATATATATATATATATATTTATATATATATATATATATATATATATATGTGTGTGTGTGTGTGTGTGTGTATGTATGTATGTGTATGTAAGATTCTGAGAGAAAAACTGTCTCGTACGACAGAGTGAACAAACTTTCTATTTGTTTTTATTGCATTTGCTCAGCAATAGTTTTATTAATAGCATTATAGTATGCATTGCATGAGATGCGCTCTTTTCCTTGTCGAGTAATCCACCTTTCGTCCTCGTCAATCTTTTAATTTTTCTCAAAACTCATTCTTCTTGTTGATACAATGTTCCGTTGTCTTATTGCACGCCTATCCGTGTTCAAATTATTTTTTTCAAATTATATTATTATATTT